CAAGAAAAAACCTTAAAGATCAATTTCGGTTATAATTTATTCTGTGAATATTGTTATATTCATCTCTTCAGTTAATTCTTTATAAATGGACTGTTAGAGAGGTTGAAAGTGACATCTAAGAAATTGACTATTTTAAGGTTAGATGATATTTCAATTTTAAAACCCAGGATTTTGGAAATACCCAGATTTTTTGTTTTTTTTTATTATTATTATAATGCTCTGTAATTTACATTGAGCTCTCTTTGGATTAATATCCACCTTGGAATTTTATCTACCAGTCACAAATTGGTAATAATTGGTTATAATATATATATATATATATATATATATATATATATATATATATATATATGTTAAGAAATGGACAAGGTCCGACAATTTATTTATTAAAGACATATTTTATGTTTAACGTTGTTATTTTATAGATACAAGTATTTAAGCAAATGCTCTGTTTATGATAAACAGTATTAAATAACATTTACTGGCCTGAATGTCTGAGAAATTTTCATAGAAAATTTTCGTTCTTTGACAGGATTCAACCTGCATCCTATACGGAACCGTCATATACGCTGACGTGCCTTACCGCTTAGGCTACAAAGAAGCGTTCGCAGACAAGGTCAATTTACTGCTTATAAACTCCAATTTTCCATGAATCTCGTACATTCATAACTGCTCTGGCGTGTCGAATGTAAACAAATGACGTCATATATTAAGAAATGGCCAAGGTCTGACAATTTATTTATTAAAGACATATTTTATGTTTAACGTTGTTATTTTATAGATACAAGTATTTAAGCAAATGCTCTGTTTATGATAAACAGTATTAAATAACATTTACCGCCTGAATGTCCGAGAAATTTTCATAGAAAATTTTCGTTCTTTTTGAGGATTCAACCTGCATCCTATAATGAACCGTCATATACGCTGACGTGCCTTACCGCTTAGGCTACAAAGAAGCGTTCGGTAGACAAGGTCGCATTTACTGCTTATAAACTCCAATTTTCCATGAATCTCGTACATTCATAACTGCTCTGGCGTATCAAATGTAAACAAATGACGTCATATATTAAGAAATGGCCAAGGTCCGACAAATTATTTATTAAAGACATATTTTATGTTTAACGTTGTTATTTTATAGATACAAGTATTTAAGCAAATGCTCTGTTTATGATAAACAGTATTAAATAACATTTATCTATGAATATCCGAAAATTTTCATAGAAAATTTTCGTTCTTTAAATAGGATTCGAACCTGCATCCTTAATATATGAACGTCATTTGTTTACGTGCCTTACGCCAGGCTACAAATGAATGTACGAACAAGGTGGAAAATTGAGCTTATAAACTCAATTTTCCATGTCTCAATAACTACAGCCTATATAACTGCTCTGGCGTTATCATGACAGTAAACAAATAGGATCATATATTAAAAATGGACAAAGAAACCGACGATTTGCGAAAATTTTCTATGAAAATTTTACATTCAGGCCGGTAAATGTTATTTAATACTGTTTATCATAAACAGAGCATTTGCTTAAATACTTGTATCTATAAAATAACAACGTTAAACATAAAATATGTCTTTAATAAATATATATATATATATATATATATTTTTTCATTGTATGGATATGAGTTTGTGACCCTGGATATGAGTTTAATGAACTCAAAAGTGTGAAACCCAGGGTCACAAACTCATATCCATAGAGCTGAATATGTTAGCTCTATCACTGATATTGAGCACTTTCCAATAAGTACTGTGCATATAAAATATATATATATATATATATATATATATATATATATATATATATATATTTTTTGACACTCCACTCAAACTTATTAAGGCACCCCTGTTTATTAATTTCAAACTTTTTCCCAGAACTCAAGTACAGAGACAAGTAAATACTGTATTGCTGTTGTTTCCAGATATGATGTATTAAGTTAAATAAAACCTGTAAGAGCTTTTTTTCTTTTTTACATCATTTCATCCCACACAAAACAATCATGCCATTAGGACACAGGGGGTTACAGAGAGTGAAAAAGATTGAGAAGACTTTAGTTAGAAGAAAGGACAATAAAAGAACAAGTTTTAGGAAAACAGAAGATGTCGATTGATGCTTCATTTAAATTTTTGAACATTTCTGGTGGCAGAGAACCAAGAAATCAAAAGGGAGTTCCACAGGAGAGAAGTATGAGAAAAGAAACTATTAGAGTATAACAGATGGCTATATCTAGCTAATTCAACAGTAAAATGATAAGAACCTAGTAGGCAATCTAGTAGCACACTTAAATTCATGCAGTCGAGGCACTAAGAAAAAAAGCTCATCAGAACAGTTGCCATGAAAATATTTGTAGAAAAGACAGAGGGAAGCCACATCTCATTGGTGAGAAAGTGCCACATTAAAATCAATTACATACAGACTCTTTGAATTTTGTCAAAAATCTCGAGATGCATATTTGGAGCACCAGACCAGATTTGGCAGCAATATTGAATGCACAGAAAATGGTAGTTATAAGTGTGCAAGATGGATTCTGATGAGAAAATTTCTCTTGCATGACACAGTGAGCCAACTTTCCTAGCAGTAGATCTAGCAATTGATTCAATATAATCACTCCATGTCAGTAGAAAATGTGATCCCAAGAAGGGGCAAAGTATTACTCTCCTGGAGTTTAGCATCAGCCATGCTGGTGGCAAACAGAAAAGGTTCTCTGTGGTGATTAAATGAAAGCAGTTTTGTTTGGGAGGTGTTAAAATTGACAAGCTATTTCTTGTCCCTTATTAGAGTTTCTTTTTTGAGAGCAATTACTAGTTTTATTTTGTTAGACTTGCTACTAAGACAAGAGTAAATAGTTGTGACATCTGAATAAATTGGGATCTGATTTTGTTTTTATGACAATACTGACATAAACTTGTCTCTTCTCTCGAAACTAGAGACAACTCATTGTAAATTTTTCTTTTCTTTGTTTCAAATTCAGAATGAAGCAGTTAACAAAGACACATTTCTTTGATCGAATGCATCGTGCATCAGTTTGGGCACTGATAGGTTTGACAGGCTATGGACTTAGCATCCTGGGAGCATATGCTTTTAGATATTTCAGAGGTAAGTCAAATTATGAACATTTCTCATTGCTGCTGCTTCTTCTATGTACCATGTCCCTTCAGAACATTGGCGATCATGGCTCTCCACAATTTCATCCTTTGTAACTCTTAATAAATTTTGTCTTTTTGCCATCACTCTGAGTCCATGTTCTGCCAACCATCTACACAAGCTCATTCTTCTTTCATATGGCCTTTTCCTTCAAAATATCTCTCCATCCATTTACTCAAACTTACTATGTAGGTTATGTATTGTTTTCCTTTCTCTCTCTTGCCTTCAATCTGTCTTGTTAGTATCAAATTTTCCAAGCCTTCTTTCTTTGTTATGTGCCCCAAAAATTTCAGCTGACTCTTTCTGATGCTAAGGAGAAGTGTCAAAACCTCATTGATGTTCACATGTTTGGTCCATGGCATTCTCAGCATCCTTCTATAGAACCATATTTCTATTATTTCAAGTTTCTTCATCTATGAGGAGATCATCCAGTATTCATTATTATATAGGAGGACTGAACTTGTAATAGTCCAATACTCATTTCTTTATTTCTAATAAAATTTTTCTGTTTCTTAATATTTTGTTTAGCTTTTGAAAGGCATCTTTCATTATCCCAATGCATCTTCAGTGTCACACTTTCCATCCTCAGTTAAAACACTCCCCAGATATTTAAATTGTTGTACTTGTTTGATTTTGGTATCTCCAATTTGTAATTTTGCGCATTAGTCTGTCTCTTTTGCTAACAACCATGCATTCTTCGTTCATCCGGCTTTCCTTTACTACCTTTTGTGGGAGTTCTTGTACTTTCCTTTTTGTGTCTGTTATCAACGCTGTGTCATTTGCATATCATATGTTAAGATTGTGGCCACCCATAATGAATCCTGTTAGGACTTGTAATTCTTTCTGAATCACCTCATTGTATAAGCTAAATAAGTTTGGTGAGAAGACACATCCTTGTCTTATGCTCCTTTCTACTTTTGTAATGTATATTTACTGAATTCATTTTCTATCTGTATGTAGGTAATTTGCTGGCAGTATAGGTTTTGATACTTGCTAAAAAACACACACACTAACTGATATCTAATTGGTAATGTAACAAATGTGCACAGAGGAGGTTAATGAAAATGTTATAGCATACCTACAGACAATAATGGGTATGTCCCCATTTGCATAAATATAGTAGTAAATACTGTATGGTGGTCTGCAGTTGGAGATTCATTGTGGAATTCACTTGACTCATTTCTAGCAGTTGACTACTTCTTCTATGCACTACTGGCGAATCTTATATGCGTTGTTCTTGTCCTAAGTATTATCGTTCATTACCAACCTTGTGTGATTATTCTATTCAGTAACCTACCCTAGGTTACAACAGAAAAGAAGAAAGCTGAGCTTCAGACTACTCTTCTACTCTTGGGGGCCTGACGTAAGGTGAGTGTTTTAATAATGCGGAGAGGAATTTTTCACAATATGTAATAAACAGAAAATCATTTAAAGGGTCAAAAAAATTTATAATTTAAGCAAAGAAAAATTTTTAAAGAACCTATAACATGCAACCTTACATGAAGGACTTCTTGCACTTTCTGATAAGATAGTAGCATGCAAAAAAGTTCTGGCATAACTTAATTAGTATGTGATTCATTTTTTATGGCTTATCAACCCTTTTCAGGTTATTTAAAGCCAGAAAATATTTTTAGGTTGTAAAGTTTTTTTCTTTTTTTGAGATAATAATGGTTTAGTTATACAAGTTTTACTAATTAACCCATATCTGGGGAGGAGAAGAGGTGAATTCATACCTTTCCCAAGGGTATATGCACATAAGTGAATATAACAGACCCAACTGGAATTGGAACTTGGCTCTCTGATTAAAATTTCCCAGTTATTATCCATTAGACCACTTACACATCCAAGCTTACAGTACCTGGTATTCCCAATTGGTCACCCATCTAACTATTGACCAGACTTGACATTGCTTAACTTTGGTGATCAAACAGGAACTGGTGTTTCAACATGACATGGCCATAAGCCACTCATAATTGATATATCGATGAGAGCATGTCGCAAGATGTTTTTAATATACTAGTTTCCATTATAGCCTTTAAATTTTAATAATTCTCTTATGTACTATCATGAAACTGCCAACAAAATAAACAAACAGAATTAATAGAAACATAAATACATATATTCCTAAATCTAATGTAGAAATTTATTGAGAAATCTAGGAAAACACTATATAAATTGTTTCTCACATCTCAAGAACAATTCTAAGGGAAAGAAGTATGACAAAGTGGAAAAAGTTTTGGGGTGACGTTTTTTTAGGACTTCATTGGTAAACATAAATTTAGTCTGATGAAGGACAAAACGCATCACACACAAACTTTTTACATTTAAAATTATGAAACCTGTATATGCAGAAAAAAGTTACAATTATTTTTGTTTTAATTTTTTCTGCATATATAAATACAAGTTTCTCAATTTTTTGAATTTGACCTGAAATTCCTTGTCTTTTCTTGTCATTCCTTTCATGTCTAAATTATTTCACCAAACATGTTTGAATGAAAATATGCTGCATATATATATATATATATTATTTACATTAATCAGACTATTGTACTCATCTTTTTTGGTTGTTGTACGCTCCAGCCTTCTTCAGGTGGTTGGAATGTCGAACCTTTATTTTGCTCACTGGGGTAGACTGTTCTAGTTCCACATGCCATGTCAGTTATCTCCTGTTAATTTCACTCTGCCTTAACGGGGTATTGAACTCACACTCTTTGGGTCCTGTCACTGGATCTAACCAACGCCTTTATCCACTTTGCCAAGTGTCCTTGAGGACGCACACATTATATATATATATATATATATATATATATATATATCCATTCAAACAAGTTTGGTTAAATAATTTAGATATATCATTAAAGCCTAAAATAAAAAAGGTCAACTATGTGTATAACAACAAAGTCCTTAAATGCTTATGAAAAAAAAATTATTATATATGTATGAGCAAAAACAAAAAAAGTTACTCCCCTTAAACTGAAAAAAAAACCATGTGAACTTTGAACTCAAGAACACTGCATAAGCAGTAAAAAAAAAAAAATGGACAGTTGAAATTACTTGCATTATTTACATTATTCAAACTCTTTTCTTCATCTTCATTGTCATATTTGCAACGTTTCGGCAGTTGTACACACTGGCCTTCTTTATAATCATGATACCTCATCTCAGAGATATAGACAGCACAGTTGAAATGTTTTAAATTCACAGAAACTCATATACATATTCACAGACTAAAGATGGTCTCAGATGAGATTGAAAGTACTTGGGAAAATGAAAATCTATTCAAAAAAATTTTGGTATTTTTCTTGCTCAATATTCTAAATTTACCAAAAAATTAATCCATGGACTTGAAAGGATCACAATGAAAGCTAATCAACATGATATGTGTAAATTATTTAACAAGTTCCGTTTGAAAAAAAAAAAAAATATATATATATATATATATATATATATATATAGTAGTATAAAATAAGCTGAAAAGAAAACCAGAGTGCTCAATGTCACTGAATAGAGCTTTAATGTAACAATAAAATATCCACTCATATTGCTTCAACTCAACACATTAGAGATTGCATGGGCATGAAATTAGTGGTGAGTTAAAGCAATTCACACAATTTAAAGTGATATTTTATTGTTTTTTATAAGGGCTCTGGTGAAATAAATTATTATAATGGAACCTTAAAGTGGTCTGTTTTTCTTTAATATATATATATATATATATATATATATATATATATATATATATATATATAAAAGGGTGTCTATTCAAACCCACCAAAATATTTACAGTAATACTTATTAGTATAAAATAATCTGGAAAGAGTTGTAAAGAAACCAAGTGCTCAATGACACTGGACAGAACTTTAATATAACAATAAAATATGATGTGTAAAGTGCTGCAACTCAGAGTTTCATGCTCCTGCAATCTTCAGATGGTGGGAATTTAAATAAACTTTTCATAATATCAGAAAATGCATTGTAATTTAAAAAAAAATCTTTAATTTTGTTTACATTTGTTTTAAAAACAAAACAATAATTAAATTTCCCACCACCTGAAGATTGCGAGTTGCGGGGAGTTGAAGCCTGTTACGCCTTTCAAAGCAATATTTTATTGTTATACCTACATAAAACCCAGTTCATGGAGCAGTATCTTGCTGCTATTAATTTTTTATTCACTCAGCTAGTGTACATGGCTCCCACTGCCTGACCTACAAATTGAACATACAACCACCAGATAGCACAAGGTCATTGTCCAGTCGGATGAGCAAGTAGTAAAAATTTGTTCTTTTCAAATTTGAGACACTAAGACTGTTCATTTCAATGCCTGATTTGCTCTGCAGGTAATTAGAGCATAGCATGTTTGCTGGTTCTTTTATTTTTCAAAGTTCTCTATAATTCAGCTTCATTCACAAAGGTTTGTAACAAACCCTCCACTCTTTCTTGTCACACATGCCCAAATTTCATAGTCTCTCCACAGATTTCAGCTTTTTAAATGTTCTTCAGGCCTTACATTTAGAGAGTGGCTAGTCTTACCTTGTTCCCCCACCTGTGGATTAAAGAAATTGTGTCTCAATTCAATGAATGTTATCAAATATAACAGGCACCTGAAGAAGACCGAGGAGTACAATGGCTAAAACTTTGTAAGATTCTAGTTCAATTAGAGCAGTGATTCTCAACCACTGTGCCATGAATTATTGCCATGGCTGACACACACACATGTATGTGTAGGCCATGGCAATAAATCATGGCACAGTTGTTGAGAATAAGTAAGTAGTAATGGTACAGCATTAGTATTTTACTAAATAAGCTGCACAAAGAGTTAAATAGAAATATTGAAATCAAGTAAGTCCATATTTTGTGTACTTTTTACAAATCTATGGTTTTATTTCATTACATTTATGTATACCCTTTAAAAATTTTACTAAATGTGCCATGATATTTACATTTGCCCCTAGGTGTGCCATTGCTTAAAAAGGTTGAGAAACACTTGATGAGAGTAATGTAGAACATCAAGGTGTTTAAATAAACTTTTATTTGAAAATAAATTAGGCTATGCTTTTTTTTTTTTAGTTTAAAAATGTTCATTCTTAATTGCTTTTTCTTCAAATGTGTCATGTGATTTTTTTTGTTTTTAATGAAGTACAACTAAAAATCTTCCACGGCTCCTTATGAGAGTCAAACTTTGTGAAACTGCTAGAAGCTACAAGCAAAATCTTCAACTAAGGCTCCTTGTGAGAGCAAAACTTTATGGTACTGCCAGAAGCCACAAGAGAAATCTCTCATCAAGTGTCTTTAGGAGAATTAAACTTTGTATTTGTTGGTTGAATTTTGAAAGAATTCAAACTCAGAAGTGGACTATGTCTGAAGCTTTTTCTTTCAGGAAAAAAAATACAATTTTAAATATACATATATATATATATATTTTTTTTTTTTTGTCTGCAGAAATACGGCCAATGCAGCAAGAACTGCGACAAAAGCAGAAAGAAGAGAGTATCAGACAAGAGCAGCTACAAAGAGAACAAGAGCTTCTCCAGAAACAATCAGAAGCAGAAACTCTTCATTCTTAGCCCCTCGTTAATAGAAATGCAAATGGGTTATGTCTTACTCCTGCTTCTTACCTCAAAAGCTTTTTGTTCTAAATATTTAATAAACCATTGACTATATTTCCTTTCATTTATCTTTTGTATTAAAAAAAATCATAATTCTGCTTATTCCTTAGCATTTATGTTAAGTTTTGACAATACCTCATAAATAATGAACTATTCTGTTTTGATTGAGACAGAAAAGATATATCAGAGACACAATTTGGTTTCAGAGAAAGAAGATAGTGGACGAGATAACACATTCATATGTTTAACATCTACTTCGATGAAAATGAAAATTTGTCAATTTGAAATCTTTTCATTTGTAGACTCTTACTTCTTTAAATAATGACCTGTATTCGTACTTGTGATTGTTATTGCAATATTTGGTTAAAGTTTTTACACTCAAATATTTAACAATGCAATAAAGGAATTTCCATGGTATTTTATCATTGTAGAACTCACAAGGAGCTTATTCAATCATTAACTTAAGAATTAGGATTCATTAGAAAATTCTGACCTGAAGCTGTGAAATTGGGTATTTCTAGTAAATAAATAACCTCTAAATTCTGTGGTAACCATAGAGTTTATGGAAACAGATCTCCAGGCTTGCATAAGGTCGAGTTTGAGTTGACAGACTAACAGACCAGATCTTCCTTTCGACCAACAATAATTCCATCTAAATGTACATTTCTTCTTACTACAACTGTGGCTCTGCTTTTCTTTTTTAAAAAAAAAAAAATTACTTAAAGCAAGGCAATAATGCTACTAAGATGTAAAGGCTCACTGGGAGTGAAAGAGAATAAAACTTTAGTAAGGAAAAAAGGACAATAAAAGAACAGACTCCAGGATGACAGAAGATAACAACTGATGTTACATTTAAATTTTTATCTTAAATGCAACCTGGCTATATAAGCCCATAACCAGAATTCCCTAATTTCCGGCCTAGTGTTACTTGATCCCCAAAGTTTTTATTTATACATTTTATTTCCTTTTCCTTATTCATGGACAGTGAGTGGTTGCTTTTGAAACAACTATCATCTCGGTTGTATCAGTGATGCAGTTGGTTGTCATAAAACTAGCAGTCACTCCAGACCTAGACATCATTTCCAGTTCACTTGATTACATGGGTTTCCTTGTCTGAAATCAGCACATACCCCAATTCTGTAATTATCCAGAGAGAAGGTTGGGGCTAGGATAGACAGGTGACTTCCTGGGATATTTCCATGTATTTGATAGTAAGTATACCAATACAAACCTTGCCAAGAACATTAGTTTATTTTCAAAGTTAGGATGCTTGTCTCCATTGGTAGTTGCATAAAGAAAAAACTTGTAGTTCCAATGAAAGGTTTATTTTATGGAAATATTTGGACGAGCAGTTGCCAGTCTTCACTCCTTAATTTGAATAAACTTGCTCTAACTGTAAACATCATCAACTTATTTTTTTTTTCCTTGATTTGAATTCTTAAGTGTTTCTAGTTTCTTTGCACTGTTTTACTCAAATTAAGGATTGGCTAGTCAAAATATTTTCATAAAATAAATTATTGGTTGGAACTACAAGTTTTTTCTTTTAATTAGTTTATTTTCTTGAATTATGCGATTATCACCTTGAAAAACTGTTGAAATGCATTATGATGACTATTTTAAAAATAAAGATATTGGTTCAAATGTTCAAGGCCTAATAAAAACACTTTTTTGTTTTACACAACAAATATTTGCTAAACATCATCTTCCATGTCAGTGCATTTAATGCTTCTCAATCAATTGATTGATTCATTCATTTTTTACAGTTTATCAACCATTTGCAGGTTATTTAAAGCCAGAAAACTTACTTTTGGAGATAATGGTTAATTGATACAAGTCTTACTAATTAACCCATAGCTGGGGAGAGAAGAGGTGGATTCATACCTTTCTCAAGGGTATTCGCATGTAAGTGAATATGACAAGCCCAACAGGAATCGGGACTCTGCTCTCTGATTAATAATTTCTAGCTGTTATTCATCCAAGGCTTACAACATCTGGTATTCCCAAGTGATCACCCATCTAAGTACTGAGCAGGCTTGATGTTGCTTAACTTTGGTGATCATGTGGGAGCCAGTGTTTTCAACATGATATGTCTCTATCAAACATTATACAGTGAAAATTTAAAGATCAAAATTCAACAGTTAATTTTTAAACTATGAACTTATTGATCCATTCACATAAAATTGGGTTAAAATTAATGGAAAGAGAATTTTAAGGGAGTGTTGATGAAGGTATAGCTTTTAAGACAAAAGTTAAATAAAACATTGTGAAACTTCATTGCAGATACTTTCTGGGATGAATGTTAGCAATTAAAAGCTGCCAAACTTTCTGCTTATAGACTAAAAGTCTTTGGCAAAGAGGAAATATATATATATATATATAGTGGTATCTTGACTTACGAGTGTCTCAACTTATGAGTTTTTTGAGATATGAAGTCTCTTGGTCAATATTTGCTTTGAGTTGAGAGCTAAAATTCTGGTTACAACCCAGCTTCAGACACCCCACCACTAGTTGACGCAGTGAACACTGCACTAGCATCCCATATCTCACTCGTTCACTCTAAGTGGTTATCTTGCAGTGGAAGCATCAGTGTTGTGCTCACATTTCTTTTGTAAATCTTTATTTTTCCAACCATTGGTCTGAAGAAAGGGAGTGTGAAGGACAGTGTTGAGAAGAACAAGCAGATGACGTGCATTGAATTGAAGAAAGAAATTATTGAAAAATATGACCAAGTTGTGCATGTAGTCAACTTGGCAAAGCAATATGAGCATTGCATTTATATTATCTGCACCATACTGAAGCGGGAGTTGATAATGGCTATAATGCAAGCCACGGGTGTTAAAATCATACTTATTATAAAACCCAGGTTGTGTGTGTGTGTCTGTACATTTATATATTGGATCGGATTTCCTACATTTTTCAACCGATTTCAACAAAACTTCACAAGACTACGTAAAATTACCTTGCGGTGGTTCTGACAGTGCCAAAAACTGGAAAAAAACAATTGTTTTTGCACAAAATCAATTCAAAAACACAATTAAGATGCATCGCGAGAATGAAAGGGGGGACAACTCATATCGAGTTATACTTATTATAAAACCCAGGTTGTTTGTGTGTGTGTCTGTGTTCATTTATATATGGGATTGGATTTCCTACATTTTTCAACCGATTCCAACAAAACTTCACTTTTTTTTTGGCAGGTAGTGTTTCTTATTGTCTTGCACACTTTTTTCTTTATTTTTACATTCAGAATGCTTTAAAAATTCCATTTACAAGACAGTTGTTTATAATAAAATTCTATTCAATCGGTAGACTCATAACGATTGAAAATGTTTTTGTTTGAGTTTGACCAATTCGTAAAAAAAAAAAATAAATTAAAAAAAACTAATTAAGACATGTGTGCCCATCAACCTTAAACAGTAATCTTTGTCAATTTTATTTTTCAGTCTTTATGATGGTCGGTACTTGATCTATCTCTTACTGTTACATCCCCGGGCAATGCTGGGCTCTACTGCTAGTAATTTCTAAATAGCAGACATGCTTGTTTATCATTCAGAAAACCCTAGAGTCTTTAAATCACACAAGACTCTGATAGAAAAACTTGCAGGTTATGTGGAGGGAAAACTTGTGGGCATGGGTCACCAGGCAGTTCTTTGTGGAGTGGGTGAATTTGGTCCTGACATTAAAAAATATCTCCAGGAAAATAACCTACCCAAGCAAGCCGTTCTCGTCCTGGATAATGCACATACTCACCCACCTAACCACAAATATGACATCCTTGAAAAGTCCAAGTTTATAAAGGTTCTCTACCTTCCACCCAACACCACCCCTATCCTGGAGACCATGGACCAGCAGGTGATTTCTAATTTCAAGAAGCTCTTCACCAAGCACTTCGTCTGCTACTGCTTTGAGGTGAGAGAGCACAAACCTCACCCTTCAAGAGTTCTGGAAGGACCACCATAACATCATGATACTTCTTGGAATTATTGATTTGGCATGGCAGAGTATTGTAAAGATGACCTTGACCTCTGCATGGAAGAAGCTGTGGCCTGAGGTTGTGTCTGAAACAAACTTTGAAAGACTCAAACCTGAAGTGGTAGTGGTGAAGGAGACTGTATCACTTGACAAGTCCATGGGCCTGGACAAGGATGAAGGTGACATCAACAAACTGATCAAGGAACACTCTGATAAACTGACAACAAAGGAGCTAAAGACACAGTAGCACATGGAGGTTTTGCAGGAAATAGGTGACGCAGAGAAAGTTATCTCTACAAGTGAGATAAAGAAAATGTAGGGAATGTGGGAGAAACTTCAAAAGAAATACCCAGTAAAAGTTGCAACTGGGTATGTGATGGCACTTATTTAATGACACTTACCACAATTCAGAAACATTCTGAAAGTAGGGGGGGATGAAACAAACCTCATTGGACATGTTTTTATGGAAACCCCCTGCAGATGAAAGTGAGGAAAATGTGGCCAAAAATCAGCAAATAAGATTCAATTATTCAGTTCAGCATCTCTCCTTCACCTCCATCAGCATCTTCACATCATCTGATCTCCAAGGTAAATGCTGTACATTGTTATATATAAAGTACAGTGTATGTATGTGTGTGTGTGTCCAAGCAACTCCTCTGTTCCAATTTCAATCATTCATAGTTCATTCAAAAGCCCTAGAAAAGTTAGGCGCAGGGAATGATTTTGGTTGAGCTCAGATTCAGGGTTGCCAGATTATGTGAGGTTAAAAATATATATTAATATATTATACTAGCCATTAATGTTGCTTTCATGGTTCAAAGGGAGTAACTCTTATTTTCCTTTTATATCCAAAATTGCAGCTAACTTATTTTAAGGGAAGAGTAGGTGCAATAGGCATCAATAAACTACAGTAGAACTCAAAATTGATCACTGCATTTAAGTATTGAATTAATGTTTAAGCTTACCTTTTAGAAGTTCGATAATTCTTCTGCTAATTTAAAGACAATTTGATGTACGTAGATCTTTATTTTCTGTACAAACAATTACTTTTTATTCCATGAGTAACAGAACAGGAGATAATTTATAAGATAAAATATAGTGTAAAGATAAATAGAATTAGTTCAACATTTGAAGAGTTAAAGAAACATAATAGCTAATAAAGTAAAACCAAAATTATGGAATCTATATGTATAAATGCAAAATTTAGTTTGGTATTTAGTTGACCCCGCCCCAAGTCATGTTATGACACAAAGTCGGTTTAATGTGGGGAGCCCGAGAATGTACACCCGGGCTAGGAACAAAAATTCCCGAGCCCCCACGACGATCGATTACGCTGGCCTCAGTGCGAGCACTAATCCCTCTCTCTAGTGCAATGAGGGCGCGGCCTCAGGTAGCTGTTCCCCTCAGCATAATTTTCCTCAGTTATGACTGAGAGATGATAAATAAATGTGTCACAAACTACTTTATAGTAATTTACACACTAAAAACTCAATATCTTTATTATATATTATCTACTTCTAGGTAATATCACCCTTCAGGTTTAACTAATTTGCATATTGATTTTAAAAAAAGTTTATTTCATTAACTGTAGCAGATTGTTTTGATTTTCATATCAAAAATAGTTCTGTTTAGGAATATTGTCTTATAAAAGAAAAGTGATTGAAATTTGCATTTTACTTCGATGTCAACTTTCTGAAGGCCATTTGTAAAACTTTCCTTAACTATAACAAGCCAATTTATGAATGAAATGTTCATTTAAAATTTTTTGTTTCAAATATTTCAAGTAGTGAATATATCTTATTTTGCAAAGCGATAGCAAGCGGGTGGGCAAAGCCTGCTAGTACTTAACCAGTATATTCTGTTGTGTTGTGTTTTTATACAATATTTATGACTTATTAGTACATCTTCTTTCAAAAAATGTAACAAACCAACCAGAATAAAAAATATGAAGTATTTTTTGGGGGGTCCAGAATAGATTAATGTCATTTCAATGGGGAAAATTGATTTGAGTTTCAAGGTCTGTCACAGAACAAATTAAACTCATAAGTCAAGGCACCACTTATATATATATATATATATATATATATATATATATATATATATATATAATGTGGCAAAAAATCTGAAGGATTTCTCTTGATGCATATGCACTGGCAACTGTATATTTGCTTTGCTTGGAAGTACTGTGAAGAGAATTAATTTTGCAGATCATTACTGTTCTAGTGAATGTTGTCCTTACATTTTTATGGCACTGGGATATACCAAGCTAAGGTTAGTAAATAGCTATATACAATTTCTACTATAACAGTTGTTTGAACCAGAGCTAAAAAAAAAAATTCAAATGTTGACTCAATTTATGGTCTTTTTTTTTTTTTTTTAAAGGTTTATGTATTTTAAATTTACAGTGGATGTTAACTTTTGTTGCAGACTAATGAAAAAAAAAAAAAAAGAAAAAAAAGATGCAATCTTTTTCTTGAGACCCATCTATATGATGTCTTTTCCATCACTTCACTTAAAGATGGTCTCAGACTGACTGGTTTCCATCATGCTATTCAGAAATAGACAAGAGATATTCTTTTCAATACTAATTGACTCCTCATCTCAACAGACTCAGTTTTACTAAGCATCACCCACATATCATATATGTATATGTACTAGATGACTGTCACTCATGTATTCATTACAATACTTTCTATTATTCTTATTAAAAATAAAATAAAATTAAGCCTAAATCTTTCATTTAAAATAATTTCTTTACTAATCTTTGATGAAGAAATAGGTTGCTTAAAGAAGGAAAACTGATGTAGTTGAATGGCAGCTGAACATTGTTAATGTGAAATACAAAGTAAGGAGAAAGATTTTTTTTTTATATATAAAAACCTTAGAATTGATTTCAAAGAAATCTTTTATCAATGAATAACTTTCCCCCCATCTTTCAGGTTTGAATAAAAACGTCATGAGAAGTAGAAGGGAGAGGAAACTGAAAAAAAAAAAAAAAAAATCAAAAAAAATCATAGCACATTATATTAATTTGAGAAATTACTTACTGGGCATGGGATATGTGATGACCACCTTAATGCAAATATATAAAAATAAATAAAAGCCCTTTTAGCAATATTCATTAATTATTGTTCCCAAAACCTGAGGAAGAACAATATTTAATCCAGTCATTATTTAAAGTAAATACAAGGCTTTAAAATGGAATAAAAATATTAGAACAAAACAAAATCAAGCAAACTTTCTGATAATTTAAAGAGACAGAGAAGAGAGGAAAAAAAAACAAACAAAAGCCTTTTTCTTTCTTTTAAATGATAATGCCAGTGTCTCCCCATTTAATTGTTTTATCCTTTTGGTCAAGTAGCACCACCAAACACACAATGCTCTTAAAAAAAAAAAAAAAAAAAATGGTTGGTTGATGGCCATTATTTTTATTTTTTTTTTAAAATGGAATCACAAGTAACTGTACATCTACATTATTTTTTATATTTATTTATTTCATTCATTTTTGAAAAAAATTTTTTTTTAATATTTTACAAGAATATACATCATTACAGGCCATCTAAATCACTTTGTTAACATCCATCGTTGAGGATTCTGAAATATCTAAATATTTACAAATTGGCTTTTCCTTTTTCTCTCCCCAGTTGTAGTAATAATAATAGTAGTAGTAGTAGTAGTATTAATAATTACATAAACCAATATTGTCGAGATATCCTCACATGTGTAAACAGCACTGGTAGCAGATATCACACACACGCACACATACAAATTGCTGTTATTGTTGTCATAAGAGGCAACGCAGTTGTGAGTTAGACGGTACAACTTCAAACAATTGTCTTTTTTTTTTCCTTTTTTAAGTATTTATACTGACAAGAAACAAATGAATACAAATTGACAAAGGATTAAAAAAAAAAAATAAAGAAAAAAAGGATTCAATATCCTGCCACCTATGACATTTTGAAATAAAAAAAAAATAAAAAAAGAAGGAAATTCCATCCATTTATGGGGTAGGGATGAATAGTAATGAAACTAATAACATTGAAACAGGCAAGAAAAGTTTTAAAAAAAAGAAAAATGTACAAAACATCAAATTAGAAAATAAATTTCAAATCCCTGATGTGTGGAAAAAAGATCCTTATTCTTATATATATTTTAAAAAAAAGTTGTGCTTCCTGAAACTTAATTATTTGTTTGTTACAGTGAAAATTAGTAAATTTTTCTTGATTAAAACTGATAAGCAAACTTGATAGAAATATTCTACTTAAAAAAACATCAAAACAAAACAGTCAAAGACTAAAACACAATGTCAGACTAAAAGAAAAATGGCTTTAAAAATTGCCTTATAGCAAAGGTAAAGTAATAGTTTCATTCTTGAAATTTCTTTTTCTGTTATTGACTATTTATCTGCCATGTTAAGTGTTCCCAACAAAAGTTGATCCTGAAAATCTAAGAGCTCTTCAGATACAAACTTATTCCTTGTGATTTATGCTGTTCAAAAAGATTCAGTTTATCCATTCTACAGCCTTCTTCATGTTCTGCAGAGAAAGAGAGTGACTCTCCCACCTTAGTATAAAACAGAAGCCAATAGCAAACAGAAAATTTAAAACATTCTATGTAATTCTTGCGATATAAAGCATTTCATGTACAATATGTTTTCATAATTTATATACAATGATGTTCTCAGTTACTTTAACCAAAAAGTTGCAAACCATTGAGCAATAAAAGCTACCTTTACCCACCTTACACATCTAAACAACAGGGAGATAGTATAAAATATCTTTGTTAAACAAAGAATTTTATACTGTGTTCTGGAATTGAGAATATCTCTGCATATAAATTATGAAATGATTTGTACTGTATAAGCTAAAAATGGAATAGTTTATATCACAAACATTGCAGTGAATGTCCTGAGTTTTCTGGTTTGTATTAATGGAAAAAGAGAAACTCTTTTCCCATGAATGGTATATCTGAAAAAAAAAAAAACTGTAGAATGGATAGGTCTAAGCATTGTATGAATAACATAAATAAAACAAAAATAGAGTTCAGTGTTCAAATAGCCTTGGATTGATGAAGACTAAGTTAGAATTACTGAGAAAAGGTTATCAGAAATGTTATTTACAATTCTTTTTTTTTCAGGGTCTGCTGAATAGTTCTTCGTTCAAATTATATACCCAAAAATCAGTATTCTGATGTTTGATCATTGAAATACTGATTTTTAGCAAGTGGGTCAGATCAGGAACATTTCAGCACACTTATGTAATAAGGAGGAAAAGAGAGAAAAAAAAAACACTTATTTTAGTGTAGTGAGACCAACAATGATTTTTTTTAACTTAAATTTACAGTAAATCAACTCAAAACACAAAATCAAGATTATTGTAGGATAAATGAGATTCAACCTACCACAGATTTATGAGTGTATGAATAATGAACTGCAAAAGAAACTAGGCATTGTTTTAACTCTATTTTCCTGTTTTAGCATTTCACTGAAAAGCCAAACACAATACAAGAAAATTCAGCTTCATGTATTACACTTTAAAATGCAGTTCTTACCGTTGTCATTCATAAATTAAATGTCAAGATCTTTTGAGTAAAATCAATCTAATTCTAAACTATGAGCAGGCATAGTGGATGATAGAAATTCACTCAGTACATTTGTCGCAACTTGAGTTACAAGAGAAAATTGAGATGTACTTTTGTGGATATAGATCAGCAATGGGTCAAGTCTGAGAATGTTCAATATCCTGTTTAGGTTTTCCTCCTCCACCACCACCAGAGGGGGAATTTGTATATATATATATATATATATATTACACACACACTCTTCTTGTTCATACAATATTTGAGAATTTTTAAATGATATATCGAGCTTCAAGTTAGCATTTTGAGCTCATGTAAGGTTAACCATGTCATTTAGTGGTCAGTCGTCAGTATCCTTGGCTGTATGAACAAAAGGTTACATGTTAATAAATTTTTGTTTTTAAGATTACATTGTTTTATGATAGACTTTAAGAGTAAAAGAAAAACTGAAATTTAAGACAAAACAATCAAGCTTATATAATTATTCAGTTTAATATGAAATATCTTTGTGATTAACTAAGTTTGTTTTTGTTTGATTCATTTTCTACAGCCTATCAACCCTTTTCAGGTTATTTCAAGACAGAAAATACTTTTAGATTGTAAGATTATTTTGGAGGGAGATAATAATGGTTTAATGATACAAGTCTTACTAATTAACCAATAACTGGGGGTAGAAGAGATGGATTCATATCTTTACCATAGTAAATATAATAAACTCAATGGGAATTGCAACTTGACTCTCTGATCAACAATTCTGAACCATTATCCATTATACCACCTGCACACCAAGTTTACAGTACCTAATATTTCCAATGAGTCACCCATTTAAGTACTGAGTAGGCTCAATGTTGCTTAACTTTGGTGATCGTACAGGAACCGGTGTTTCACTGTAATGTGGCCGTAGGCCTAGATTAAGATATTACCGAGACAAAATAATTTGTATTTATTAAGATGAAGTATTGTTAATTTTTTATGGGCATTTTACATGTTATTTCTATTGTTTTGCATTACAGAAATTAGTCATTAGTAAGCTACACAAATTGGGAATAAAGAATCTTGCTGTTGGCTTATTCTTTATTTCCAATTCAAGCTGCTTACATTTAACAAAAGATGAAAAGAAATGCTGATCTTAAAAGGAAGAATTCAAAATGGATGCTTTTTTTTTTTGTAAAGGGAGACAATTTTACTTTAAAACAAAACTAAAATTAAAAATTTACAATTTTATCAGTTTATTCTATTTTTTCTCAATGGAAAAAAAAAAAAAAATATTCGGATTTTCTAAACAGATATTGGTTTAATACCATCAGTTATTTCTAATTTTTATTTCCATTGAAAAAATTAAATATTAAATGAGTAATTTTAGTTTGTCTTTTCCTGTCCTATGATAAAACTAGGAACAATATTTGAACTGCATGTGCTTTAATGAATGTATTAGAAAAGTAAACCAGGCCAACACACCAGGGACGTTAAATGCATAAAGAATTTTGGAGATGAGTAATAACAAATTGAAACAAACAACTAATTCACAAATAATAAGAAACATTTCCAAGAACTAGCCACTTAAGTCGTACTGCTGCTGAAAAATTACAATAAAATATCAAGTAAAAAAAAAAATTATAAATATTTTGGAATGGGAGAGGGGAAATCACACACACACACACACATACATACATACACAAAAAAAATAGATAAGGACATGGCCCATGAAAAATGCTTGAATACTTTAGTGATTATATATTTTATAAAATTTCAGATGATGGATTATTTAAAACAGAAACATCATTAGAAAGAATCTTAACTTTATGAAATTAGAGAAACATTTCAAAGGACCAAAGTAAATGAATATATTTCATCAACATAATATTAATTTGAAAGTAAAATATAAAAGACTAAATTTTTTACTTGTCTTAATTCTTAAAAGTTTGCATAAAGTAGTATTTACTAGACATTAATATATAAGAAATTTTATGAGGTCAATGTAATGAAAATAACTTACATTAAAGTAAAGATTTAGCAGAAAGATTTCAATGAGGCATATATATGTGTCTATGGTGAACCATTAATTCAGCATGGTGACCTTTTCAAGTTTATCCAGCAACATGTTCTCTCTATTTTTTTCAAAGGAATAAATTAGAACAAATAACAATGGTTATTCCCTGTAATATGTATAATTTAATATTTTCAACTTAAGGGCAAACACAGCATCAAGATGGTTTTGAAATATGTATATAAATGGTTTTAATTTTTGGAGATGTTTAAGATTTGGATAAGGGGGTGGGGAATAAGGGATTAGAGGGTGAAAGTGTAAAAGGAACTTGATAGAAAAAATATCTCACTTGAAACGTGACACATAATGGGTTTTGTTTTTATTTGCAGAACTACATGGGAAAAAAATTTGTTGAAGAAATCCAGTTTCTTCATGGATGAACAGTTTCAGAAAGTTAAGCCGTGCCGCCATCCAATCTGTGCACATGGATATTTTATTATTTTTGTGTTGTAGTAATAGTAGCAAGGGAGACAACCGCAGCCTGGTTGTTGTCAAGAACTTGCAACTTTTTTTTTTTTTTTTAATCTTTTTTAAGTTTTGTTGGTTTTTTCTTTCTTTTTTTTGTATTTTTTTTTGTTTTGCTCGATACTTTTGCTGAGTCCTCCGTCCAAGTGGGTCACAACATTACTCACACTTAAAAGAAAGATAGTTAGGGAGAGAGAAAGAGAGGGCAGTAGTAGGAACAAAAGATAATGAAGAAAGCAAAAAAAAAGAAAAAAAAGAAAAAAAAGGAATGTGAAGTATTTTGACTTTCTGAAATATACCAAGTTCAATGGTATTAAATTATGGTCACAGCCAAAAATCAAATTACTTACATTTTCTTTCTTTCCTTTTTTTTTTTTTTTTAATATTCTTTTTAAAAGATTTTTTTTTATTTTAAAAAATGTTTTATTTAATTATTTTTTGTTTGAGATTTCACCAATCATGACCCCACACCAAAGAAAAAAATGTAATCCATGCTTTCATTTACATATCAGATATGGAAGTCAATGAAGAAAAAACTAAGATTGATTGCAGTTCTAAGAAACAATTTAAAAATATAAATTAATAAAGAAACCTAAGTTATCTGCAAAAACCAGAATGCCAAATAAAATGTGCATATGGTATTATATTGTAAGCAATGATTTAATTTTCATTTATTCAAATATTCTTAGCATAATAAAAATTGCTGGTAGATATTATGTATATAAAAGTATATGATGAGACTGTATATGTTGTGACTTAAAAATGCTGAATTAAGTTACTATGGTAGATTTTTTTTAGGCAAGGAACAATGGATAATTATAAAAAAATTCTTATAAAATAAATTTGTTTGTGCAAAAGAAAAGGGAGGAGAAAAAGCATTACAATAAAATTGAATAGCAAAAGGATTGTGCGTTTTATGCTAATTTCAAAAAACAAAAATGAAAAGATAAATTAACCTGGTTAGTGACTTTAAGATGAAAGAGATTAAGTGGTTTAAATAAAGATGAAGATTAAGGAATAAAATAGAGGTTAGGAAAAGCTTTAAGAATAAAAAAAAACAACAACAACCTCCAGGTTATTTAAAAAAAATATGGTGCAGCATAAATTATCAATATTATTATTATTTAAAAATGATCCAAACAAAAACAAAAAAAATAAATCAAGGCATGAAATAAGAGAAAGCAGAAGAGAAAATGACTCACACAATGAAATGGTTTTAGTGAGGTAAAAAATATAATTAAGGAAGAAAAAGAAATGATGATGAAAACAAGACAATTTGAATAACAAATAACATAAGTGCTTCACAAAATTTGCATCAACATTTGTTTGTATTTCTCTTCTAAAATCATCAGGTCTTCAGAATATTCAAATTGCAACACTGTTGTATGGAAAATAACTAGGGATTCCCAATCAAACAAAAATGCTCTCATTTTATATATCTTCAAGAATTCAAATCTGTTATTTTTTTATGTCTTTCATTATATTTTGGTATAGAAAAAGTCATTTCTATTTGAGTGTTAAGAATTTTAGCTTAATAATAACTGTATTGGTTCCTCAATCAATAACATCTGCTTTGTAAGCACAACAAACCTACAAAAGTTATTAAATGATTTTTTTTTTTTTTACTTGATTCTTAATTGAAAAGATATACCATAATTTTAGTGGGAATTTTAAGAAACAATATTAAAATTAGAACTGAAAATAAAGTCAGATTTTAAAAGCTACAAAATCTAAAACCAGAGGCCTTATTCTACTATTATAGAATTGTCCTATTTTTTTAAGAATTGAATATTCACAGGATTTTGAGAAAAAAGAATGGGTGACAAGAAAATGAAGAATGCACTGATGTTCATCCATTTAAGTAAAAATAAATTAAGGGTAAAGACAAAATAAAATATACAGCTTCACAATGTGTTAACTGGTCAGAGGAAACAAGGAAGATTAAAACATTGTTTTAGCAAAAGTTCTACTGTAAATATTTGGTACTTATGGATAAAATTCAGTGGTAAAGATGAGAACTAAAGCTTGAAAGCTTTTAGTTCCCATGCACTTGATAAGATGGATATCAGACCTGAGCTAAACTTTTCCTTTGGTGGTCAATTTGTACCTATAAAATACACAGTACCCTGATTGAAAGTCAAAATCTAGAATTATCATTTCATTTCAGTAGATCAATATCCTAGGTATTCTTGCTGAAGATATAATTTCTGATCTATGTCAGGTCTGTAAATGCATCTTTTGAGTGTAGTAAATACACCAAAAGCTTTAACACTGAAAAAGAACCTATAAAGTATATTTAAATTAAAAATTTAAGAAAAAAAAAAAAAAAAAAGGTTGAGATTCTTATGCCTAAGTTAATTTATAAGGCAACTAAGACTAAGACAAAAGCAAATCAAGTCCTTACAAGCCTTGGATTTGCATACTGCATATTAGTTTTTAGAAAAGTTAAAATGAACAAAAAACATATAGCAGTTGACATCAGAGAAAAGAGCAGCCCTTTGAAATAATCTCAGTAAAGAAAAAAAAAAAAAAAAAAAAAAAAAAAAGATATATATTAAAAAAAAAAAAAAAAAAAAAAAAAAAACTCATTTTTTTTGAATTTGGAAAAGGAGAATTCATTTTTCACTATAGTCTCACAGCCTCAATCTAAGACACAGCATTACAGTGAATGTCTGACAGTCCTGAGTTGTTCTTGTTTATGTTGTTTTTATTGAAAAAGAGGGAATAATTAGGACAAAGAATTTTTTCCCCAATTTAGAGAGAGAAAAAAAAAAAAAAAAAAAAAAATCAGCCCATTTTCCTTCCTTTCTCTGCCAAGTTGACGACACAGTGTGATGTTAGGAAATATTAAAAGATAAATAAAGGAAAAAAAAAAAAAAAAAAAAAAAAAAAAAAGAAAAAGAAAAACAATGACCATCTCAGCTACCACCATTGCAGAGTGTAACAAAAGTAGCCCACTGGCAGCCCATGAAAAATTAGGGGGGAGAGAGAGAGAGAGAGAAAAAAAAAAAAGAACAAACATTGGATTGAATGGTGAGGTATTGTAGCAGGTACCAAACAAGGTCACAAGTGGTGAGAAAAAAAGTTGTCAAATAAATTATTGGATTCAATATTTTTCATTAATTTTTTTTATCCATTTTCTTTTTCCACACTACGATAAATACATAAATAAGGTCTTCAATTTATTACAGTATTCACATATTTTTTTTTTTTTTTTTTTTTTTTTTTATTCATCTAACTTATTTAGGTTTGGGTTCCTTTTTTTTTTTTTTGTTGATTTTTATTTTCTTGACATGGAAGTGGGTTAGGGTCAGGGGAATAAATCTGTAGGAAGTTTAAGAAAAGGGGCAGGGTTCTTAAAGAGAAGCAGGATAACAATCAGGTGGTTTATGTGTATGTGTTTTTATGCATGTGTGCCCCTGAATATCTTCCCACAATTGTGAAGGTACTGTAACAATAATCCGATCTATCAATGAAACGTCTTTCTTTTTGCGCTTACATTTTTTTCCTTCATACCTCCATGATATGATATTACATTTAAACACAAAACAACCCACAATAACAAGGTACCCTTGGTGTGTTTTCCAGTCACTTGTAAAACAGCAGATGTTAGCAAAATAGGCTTCTTTCTTTAGTAGGCATCCTGCTGTTGTTTTTCTTAGGTTTTTTTTTTCCTCTTCATATTTTTTTTTTTTTAATATTTTGTAACAAGGGGCCCCAAACCACCTGGAATATATATATATATATATATATATATATATATATATAACATACAAGTATCTATGTGCAGTATATAAAGACATGACAAAAAAATAGTGAGATTATTTACAAGTCTAGATGACATGATGAATGAAAGTGGTGAGGAACAATTTTTTTTTTAACCTTTTCAATGTTTCTTTTTTAATAGTTTATTTCAGTTTTTCCTTCTCATTCTTTTCCTTTTGTTTTCATTAAAAAATTTCATTGAAAAAAATTCTTAAAATTAAAAAATTTATAGATTTCAAACACTGATCAGTTTTCTTTGTAGGGTGTATGTGTGTATGCATGTGTGGGTGTGTGTGTTTTTTCCTTTTCATTTCTGAGAAGACTTCAGATGATCTTAAGCAAGACTAGAAGTAAAAGGGAATTATTTTTTCAGAGTGAGATTAAAATAGAGAGAAATTCTTAAAGCTATGATCAGCGATTTTGTGAATATATTTTTGTGGCTGCTTCATTTTATTGATGCATGTATGTGTGTGTGTAAGTGTGCAAATTTAGTTAATTGTAATTTCTAATGAGTTTAATTTAGAAAGAAGAAAATAAAGATGAAGTAATGAAGAGGAAAAAAGTGTGTTAAACTGCTAGATAGATAAGTAGGTAGGTAGATTGATAGATATAGGCACCTGGAGGTGGATGAAAAGTTGTGAATAGTCTGACACAGCACTGAAATATACAAATATCACATTCACTGCTATGTGTTTTCCCCAGATGATTTAAATGGCTGCGGGGGGCCAATTTTTGCTCCCTGATTCTTTTCAGTCCCAGTTGTTTGGGCTCCCCCATGGGAAGTCCCCATGGAATGTGCTAATGAAGTAAATGTCAAGTCCTGTTTGTATTCCCCTGAATCCAAATGTGAATTTAACTGATACTTGGCCGTACTGCCCAGTGGCGGCCCAGCATCCATATTTTGGACAAATGACGATCTCCCGGTTGAAGGCAAGCCATTAAAATAGTTGGAAATTCCAGAAGTTGTAGCTGCTGTTGGTGTCCCCTGATGGCCATATGCTCGTAGATCGATTCTGCATTGAAAGTAAAGTTTGGAGAGTGGCAGGCTGTGAGGATGGTATTTGGATACTAGGCGTGGTCATCTGTGGTGAGGATTGTGAGTTTATGTTGGGGTGGGTGGACAGCACTGCTGCAGCTGGTGACACAGTAGTGTGGATTGCAGGTAGGCCTCGGGCAGCACGAGATGTGACTTGCTGGCTTGCTTCCGGTTGCTCGCTGCTGGTGATAAAGATGGTGAGATTTTCAATTCTGTAGATGCTTGCTGAGCTGCAAGATCCCCAAGAGAGTGCGTAGTTCCATCCAAGGGAATTTGTTTGGAATTTGTTGCCAGTATTGTTCGACTGTTCAAGCAGATGACCTGTAAATATAGGGAGTGTGTGTGACACACTGGCTGAAATCTGTGAGGATGATAAGGCCAATTCTGCAGGCAAAGACTGTGAGTGTAATAATGACGTCTGTTTACTGTTATTATTGGTGGTGATTAACAAGTTGTTGCAGTTAGAAACAGATGGGTCAGACAAGGAAGAGGACACAGAGCCAAGGTTAAAGTTTATCCAATTGTAGGGTAGAGCTGTGGTACCTCCGTTTGAGGCAGCATTGCTAATAGAACCGACTGAGGCATTAATGACTTGCCCAGGCAATGACAAAGAGCTGGCAGTTAGGTCTGTGCCATCCAAGACGTTCAAATTATCTGAAGCTAATCCGTTCCCTGGAGTCAAGTGAGTGGCAGTGACAGATGCAGGATTAGTTGGGACTGAGTTCAACAGTGAATCCGTTATGTGCTTCGTCCATTCTTCATCGTTGACATCCATGAGTTGAGATGACTGATCTCCAACACGAGCCAACTTATCAAGCTTTTCTTTAGCATCTCGAATGTCTTTGTAAGCTGCTGCAAGTGCTCGCTCAAGATCTTCCGATTCTTCTTTTGAGGGATCATATTCACCATTGCGAGCTGTATAAAGCATATCAAAACCAATGTGAGACAAGTAAAACATGACAATTTTTAGACAAAAATATCTGTTTTAACAAGCAAAAAATATATTCAAAATTAAAATACCTTATATATACTGTTTCAAAAGACTATTGAATTTTCATTGTTATTTAACTTTGACTTTTGTCACAGATTTCTTACTTCTACATAAGTCCACAGCCTAATGACAAAAAGTATTTATCTTACATAACAAATACTAAAGTTTTAAACATTTTCTTCCTTGTCAATGCACTTAATTCAGTAGTGAGTAATAATCACATATATCTATTATATAGTGAAAAGTTGATATTAAAATTCAGCTAATAAAATTCACCTGTTAATTTTTCACACTACCATAAGCAAAAGGTTGGAAACTCCCATCAATAGGAGAAAAAGCAACAACAATTACTGAACTTGAAAAAATCTGATTTCCTAAAAAACTGTTTTAAGAAAAAGATTCTATAAATTTCGTCTGATACTAATAGTGACTGTCTACTCATTGAATATTGAATATTTCCTGTATGGAAACAGGTAATTTCCCCTCTTTACCTTTAACTATACATTAGGCTACTTCCATCCTTGTTAAAAAAGAAAATATTTTAAAATTTTACAAAATTTTATTTAATCATACTTGCTGTAAAGCAAATACACAATGTTTACACCTACATATTACATTAACTTTGGCACATTAACTGTTTTTTTTTTTTTTTTAATATTTATACACTCCATACTTTTTGAAGGATTTTGAATAAAAAATTATACAGGAAGTTAAGATTATTATTTCATATGTTGATTATTAAATACTCCTGATAATCACTTGAAAAGAAATGTAAATCTCTACTTATAATGATAATTTCATAAATCAAACAAAAAATTCACTGATTCATATTTCATTGAATAATTCCTGTTCATAAATTTACCTGGAGCAAATATATCAAAAGCATCAGGCATTTTGTTAAACACTTCTTGAAAATCCTGTTCTTCTAACAATTTTGAGGCTTGATCCAGAGGCAGCTCAAATGATTTTTCTATAGAATCTGAATAAAAAAAAATATAAATAAATTAACAAATTCATGGGAGGAAAAGAAAATCTGAAAAGTGCACTTGACTGAACAATATCCAAATAATGTAACAATTTATAGTCAATCTAATAATAAATAATTTCATGGTAAAGAAAAACTTCTTTCAGGATAAATTATTTTACAATTCCAACAGCAAATTTCAGCAATTTAAAAATATTCTTAATTTTTCCTTTTTAGTTACTCAATATGCATAGATTGAATATCAATTTAAATGTCAAAATTTGTTATTTTTTCAAATTTTATGAATCTGCTGTTAATGAGATGCTTTCCAAATTGTGTACATTGCCAAATAAACAACATTTTATAAATCAACAGGATGATTGAATAATGCTTGATTGTAAAGTTGGCAACTAATACAATTATTTAAACCTGATCATAAGTTGCACTATACTTTAGTATATGCTGATGTTTATTTATTTCCAACAGCAATTGCAAAAATGGCTTTCCAGTAAGCAAAAAATGTATAGAGCATTAGAAACCCTTCAGTGGTATGTGAGGAGAATGCTTTCATTGTTGATATTATTAGAGAGAGAGAGAAAAACCCTCTTTATGAAATACAAGAGTATTTAGTATGATTCCAGACCTTAAAGAAAATTAGGTTTCTTTGAGATGAAATGGAGAAAACTTATCAGTAAAAACTTGGAAATCTCACCAGGTGAAAAGCCATCATCTAATACAGCTCCCAGGTCCTGAAAGTTTTTACCAAGCTTACTAAAATCAATGTGGTTGAGTTCAGTACTTGTTCCAACACCTGAACTACTTGAGACAGGAGCAAGGTCCATGGGTAACTGAAGCTGAATAGACGTCCCTGGGAAAAAAAAAAAAAAAAAAAGGAGAAAATTATATATATATATATATATATATATGAAGAGAGTGTGTGTGTGAGAGAGAGATGATATTTGATTTTTAAATTAAAAAGAAAAAATAATTTAGATAAACTGAAATTTTTTTAAAGGATTTTTTTTAGCAATTTAGTACGATGTTAGTTTTGAGTGTGAAATAATCTTAATTTTCATAGATTATATAGAAACCAAATAGAGCAGGTCAAAGTTAGAGCCTAAACATTAAGAGACATTAAATATGCTAAAAGATTTTTTTAAAAGAAACGCAGCAAGTTGAAAAATATTGTATTTTCTCAAGTGGCCACAAAAGGCTTCAATTTAAATTTTCATTGTGAAATTTCACTTTATACAAGTTACTTAACATTTTCCCCAATGTGTAAACCTCAAGAATATTATTATTATTATTATTATGGAGTAAAGATATTTTTTTATATATTACAATAAAAAAAAAATTATACTATTTAAAAATAGATCTGACATTTTGAAAAATTTGATAAGTAAAAAGAAAAAAAAAAGAAGAAAGAAATGCCCCAAATCTATTTTAAACTTGTTAAAACAAAGGTTTTTGCTAATATTAAATAAGATAAGCAAATAAGGTAACTATTTCAGAATAAGGTTTTTCAAGAATAAATTTATTCTATGATTTGATAGAGATAAATGAAACAATGTTTAAAAAAAATGATAAACCTATGAAAGAAATGCCTTTAAGGTCAATCTAGGCTAGTATAGTATCAATTGGGTGGGGTGGGGGGAAAAGAATGTATTTTACAAAATAAATTTTACTTTCATTCTTGTCAGCAACAAAAAAAGAAAAAATTTTTTTAGTGAACCTATGACAAGCATAAGCAAGTGAATTTATCCCTTAAAAGGATAAACAAGCCTATGCAATCTGTTCTGAACTACTCACGCTTTGAGGATGGAACCAAGTTAGGTAGCATGTTGACCGATTTATCAGCTGCTGTTAGAAAGGAGTCTTGAAGTATGCTTGTACTCTCAAGAACATCTGAGGTATTTGTAACAGCAGCATTGGCTGCTGTCATGGCAGCAAGGGTGACAGTGTTGGCAGCAGGGTCTGAGAGAGCAGCAGCAGCAGTAGCTGTAGAGTCGTGGAAAAAGAATTATCAATAGTTAGGTTGTTAGGATTTCAACTGATATTGACCTGTTGCCAAGTGAGCAAAATGGTATTAATGAAAGCTCAAAAATGGTAATCTACATGTCACCCAGAGAAAAAGACAATTAAAAAAAAAAAAATTAACTTTTTTTTTCATACCTACACATTAGGTTTGTTTAAAAAAGTCCTAATTTATACAATTAGGTGGCTTACAAAACATTCAATTCAAGCAAATTTTAATAACAGATAATGGAAAAATGACCTCTCCAAACAAGATTTATTAATTTTTGCTAGTAAGGTTTTTTATTATTTCTAAAAGTTATAAGATTTAATGCAGCCAAAAGTTTTAAATTCAGCGATTGCACAAAATGATACAAAAATAACCTCGAAATGTTTGTAAATTTTTTTTAAAGAAATACTTATTTTAACTCTAAAGTTATTAAGAAAATCATGAGCTAATGTAAAATATCACAATAAAAATCGAAAATGTATTATAACAGCATTTTACCTATGTGAGGGCTGATATATTGGTTGATTCTAATTAACAATCTTTTATATTTATAAAAGTAAATAACAGGTAATTGTAAATTTTTATCAGTGAATAAAAAACAAACAAAAACAAACAAACAAAAAAACAAACAAAAAAAACAAACAAAAAAAACAAACAAAAAAAACAAACAAAAAAAACAAAAACAAAAAAAACAGGCAATGTGTCAAAAGGATGATTTTTCCCTTGACACTGCTATTATTTTAGCTAACACCATTCCTCAGCAATGTTTATTGTTTTAAAAAGTGTTGATTAGAATTGTAATAAGACCTAAGCATATGAAAGTAAATTTATACATTTTCTTTGTTCTTGAGAATTGACAACAAAATTTTATATTATTTATTGGAAAGGTTGGCAAAACATCAGCTAATTGTCAATTGATTTAAACTTTATAAAATAGCAAATAAAGATTTCCTTATAGTTGCTTTATATATTTTAATAATTTAGTAAATGTTTATAAATTTATGAATAAAAAAATTGTTTTCATATTTATTTTTTTTATCAAGTGGAAATAATAAATATTCAATTGTATGAGGTTTTAAAACGTTTGCCAATTAACTGATGTTTTTCGAACTATTCCGATATAAACAATCGGATAAATAAATAGGGTTTATTATTTTGTTATCAAGAACAAAGAAAGAGTATAAATTCACATTCACATGTTGAGGTTTTATTATAATTCTAATCATCGCTTTTTAAAATGATAAATATTGCATGGAATGAAGGTAGCTAAAATAATAGTGGTGTCAAAGGAAAAACAGTCCTTTTGACACACCAGTTTTTTTGCAAGTACAAACGTTAAACATTGCCAAAAACCTTTTTAATAACTTTTTAAATTTATACTGCAGATAATTTTATGAGAAAAATGATTCAAAATCATTATAACACATTTTTACACAATTACAATTTACAATTTTTGTCTAGTTTGTAGTGAATCATATTCTGCTGTATTTACATTGGTAAAATTATGCAAAAATAATCAAATGTCAAAAGAGAAAAATAAGTTAAAAACCAAAAGGGCAGTAGGTGTCAGGGTGCAGGGTCATACCTGGCTCTGGATTCTTGAGCGTCTCAGCAGGAGGAACAGGTTCCTGTGGACGGACATTACGGCGTTGAGTTTTCTTCTTTTTCTTTTTACCTTTCTTAGGTGGCCTTGTAAGAGCAGCTGGCTTAGGTTTTTTCCTAGGTCGTTTTTGCTTAGACTCTGTATTTTGTATTTTTTGGTAATTGTCCTACAAGACAAGAAGGTATTTCATAAATAATTTAAAAAAAAAAAAAAAAAAAAAAAAAAAAATATTGCAAATATGCATAAAAAAGGAAAATGAATAATGAACTACAGGAAAGAAATTCCTTTCACTGAATATGATTCAGGGGCATATACTAACACATACATGAGGAATCTTAATAGAAATGATGATTTATTCTGCTATCACAAACAAGATTATACTTTTGTTTTCTTCTATGAAAAACAATAGCAGTAAATATTTTCATGCCAGCAATCACATGACTAGAAAGAGATAAAAACAAGTCATAAATAATAGAAACCAAATCAGAATTTTATTCAATGAAAATAAAGTATAAGAGAGACAATTGACTAAAGACTTATTATTTGAATTTTTTAGACAAAGCAGTGTCAGTTATAAATTTTCAACCATTAATTTTTTTTATCTTATTTCTGTTGCTTCTTTTCCCACCTCCCAGACGCAGTCCAACGTGGATTGGAAATAAAAAAATAAACCTCCAGTAAGACGAACTCACACCCATTATTAGAAGGAACCTGTCTTTCAGTGGCAGCTGCCTTACCAATTAAGATGAAGACTATTGTTAATAGTCAATCAAATCTCACAGAAATAATGTTTTCCCTCCAAAATGGTGAAAAATGCATCTCATGGGCATTATAAATGAAGTTGAGGTAAGTAGTAGGCTAATGTTTATCTAGATGATATAGACTGTCAGTATATTTACTTAGCTCAATTCTATAATACAGTAATAATTAGTAAATGCAAATAGGGGTAGTTTTATGTGTCATCATATCATCAGTGGCTTTATCTTGTATCCAAGAATTTCTTCTTTGCTGATCACTTCCTTTGATGACTAAGTAAACCAATTCTTGCATGGAAGAGTCAATGGCATTTAATGCATGCTAATGTTGGTGGAGGACAAGGTTGATTTTGTTGAGCCTTTCTCTTTTCTGGTGGCTTCAAAATTTTGGGTTCCAATGGTGATGGAGCATTACCAGTTGGTATGGTCTTGTGCTTGTGTTTCACATAATTTAGGCTCAAGTCCAGTGGTTTTCAGTGTTGTTTTTGAGTTGGTCATTGTATCTTCAAAGAGGGTAAACCAGTGGTCTTTTTCCTTGAAGTAAGCTTACTGAATAAGACTTATGACTCTTCCATCCTTAATATGTCCTGACCATTTCGTCATATACAGTACTTGTGTCCACAACCCAAGACACATTTTCTATTCACTTTCTGATGCAGTAATTTTGCAGTTCCACTAGATGCACAACTAAATATACTGCTTCTTAAAAAATAAATGACAACTAATTAACATATATTACATATTTTTGGCAGAAGGAATCATCATGACCACAGGAGAAACACTTTTCTCCTCACATGTAACATCTAGTAAACTTCTGATAACATCATTACTTGCAAAATCCATTCACTGTCAGTCAATGTTTTGTAGCATTTGATTAAATATCTCATTTTGACTAAAAAGATAGAGGGAACATCTTGTTTTATAAATTTATAAAGTAATTTTTTTCATAAATGCAGAGAGAATGGCTTTTTTTCTTGAACTTCTTTGTGCTGGTAAACAAATATTCCAACACTAAAAGAACGTTATCCAGTTTTTTCTTCTCCTCCAACTGATAATTTGCAAATAGAGACTACAAGACATATTATTTTAGAACAGGGTCTTTATGGCACGCCCATAGATTTCCAAGAGAGATAAATATAAACAAATAGCAAAAACAGATCCAGAATTGATCATGGAGAAATTGTTAACAGTTCTATATTAATATTTTATTCTATCTCTAACCAAAATCAGACTTTGCTTAAAATCTTTTCGTGTGATACTTGTCTGTAACACATGAATTCATTGGAGGTGAATTTCAAGTAGAACATTAACAAAATTAGAAGGACTGTTTTATTTAATAAACCTATAGAAAGAAATTTACCAAAACAGTAGCTCTAGATAGTTATAATCTTAACAAGACAGGTTAGGTAACTCTTACAGCAAAAATAAAATAAATGGTAAGATAAAGTAATAACACGTATTTTGAATAAACATCAAATTGATAATTACTGGTGATTACTAGTAAATATTTTTTCAGTAATAGTTTCCCAGCTTATCACTTAAGTTATATTTACTATGAAACATCATTTTTTTTTTATACATCGATGGAAGATTCATATTAAAATCAATTGTAAATGGTTTTATAGCAAAGTATCTAATAGGCAGTTAGAAACAGGTAGTAGTATTATTATGGGAGCTTGAAAGAGAGTTATATTTAAACAAATTTATTTTAACATTTAAATTTTTTAAAAGTTAATTTAAATATGATGCATCCAGTATGCTGGTATTATGACTAGAGGTCATAATACCTTCAAAGCTTGTTGAAATGCATAGCTATAGGGCTTGGATGAGTTGTAGGGAGTTAAAATCTAAATAACCTAGTAAACTGGCATATGATATTGAGAGAAGCTTAATCTATATGTGCAGTGGGAAAGTTATTCAGTGGTTTCTGTATTCCATCAGATATATCTCCTGTCTTAAAATAACCCTATCTGGAAATAAATAACTTCATTTTCTATCTTTTTATTATCAATTTAAAAAAGAAAAGAAAAAAGAAGCCTATTTAGCAACTTCAATCCCCAAAACGTTTTATTAGAATTATATAGCTTAAGAGTTTTCCCTTAATACATGAAAAAAAAAAAAAAAAAAAAAAAAAAAAAAAAAAAGCTGCCTTTTTACCTGCTGGCATTTGATTAACTGCAGATGACTAGAAAATAGAGGAAGAGTTTGCAAAACTCAAATATTCATTAGGATTAATTTAAAAATTTATCTGATGCATACTTCATATTGAACAAACAAAATTCATGAGGAGAAAAAAAAGTGTATACTAACAGCTTTAGCTGCATGCTCTTGGCAGAGAGGCAAATCATGTTTAATATCAAAAACAGGAACACAGCATTGGGTATTGTCTGCAAATTTGGCTGTACAATAATCAAATAACTGTTGATCAACATTATACATGATATCTGATTGTAGTTAAAGATAATACACATGACAAAAGGAAATGTCATCAAATGAAAATTATTCAAAATCATAAAGACATGTAGAGAATGTCAGTGTGAATAACAACAAAATATTATTTTTATATTTTCAGAAACAAATGCCTCAATGTGCTTCTGACAAAACAATTAAGCTTTTTAGACAAGAGAGATTCATCTTACTAGTGTAATGAGTTTCATCCCTACTTAGTGTCTTGTTATTGTGGACTTTTACCAAACTGAGCTTAAGTATATTCGGTCATAATATTTTTTTTTAAGTTATTTCATAACTGACTGAAAATAAAAATAATTGCTGAAAAGTTTTTCAGTTACTAAATTATTGTGAATAATTTCATAAAAACTAAAAATCTCACTGGGTAAAAGCAGCACTTATGCTAATTACAAATAAAAGCAATAATATATCTTCAAATGAAAGAAAAATTATATTAAGAAAAGGTCCAACAATTCTGATCAGTCATCTTTTTCTTTTTTAATTTATACAATATCTACAAGTGAACTGAAGCATTAAAAAAAATTCAATTATTTGATGATTTGCAAAATATTTCTTCATTAGGACCAGTATTCTTATTTTGGATACAATTTTAAGTGGATATTTCTTATCAACAGAAGACTATTTCTATGACTGTCTATTAATGCTATAAGATAATGGTCAAAAGAATGCTTAAAAATAGGGTTGGGTAAAGTTTTCTACTTGGAGCTAAACAAGTATCCACTAATAAAAGAACATCTATTTTGATTAATCTTTTATATATTTATAGAAAAAATAATTTCTTCTGGATTGTTGATAAAGTTCAATGAGCAAAGAGGATACGTTTGATACAGTGGTTAGTGCAAGGGAGAGCCTTCTTGTTGCATTTACGGTCATCCTCGTTTTTGTAACAGCAGAACCTCTTCCTTACACTTGGCATTTTATGCCTGGAAATAAGAAAAAAAAAAAAAAAGAAGTCAAGATTTAAACTCAAGAAAATAGCAATATATTTTTTAAATATTTTGTATAGCATGCAATAAAATTTATATATCACATTATAATGCATATGTCATTATTATAAAGTGAATTTTTTGTATAATTATCTGAAAGATTTTACAATATTAAGACCTGGAAAGCAGTATACTGATATAATAGAAATAAATTTTTGATATATTTAAGAGTAAGACTGAACTATGTAAAACTTATTTTCTGTAAATATTTATTCATTTCCTTATACCGTATCACATATCTAATATTATGCTGTGGGAATAATCAAAGTTGTACAAAGAAACATTTCTAAGATAATCATAAAAAGTTTAATTCAGTTGTCATAATCTTTATGACAATTTTAATGGATAGTATAAAAGAGCAAGAAAAGCACTTACAGATCCCATCTCTTATGAGGTTTATTTAGTACAAAGTGCAGGGATTTTAGAGCAGCGGGAGGTTTATCCCGTAAGGCATGTATTAAGGCTAGAGTCGCTTTATTTTTATTAACTTGAACATTGGCATTGAAGCAGCCGGCTACTCGTGATTGAACACACCGACGACGCAGCTGTGTACGACGAATGGCCAGCTTTGTGCTTCGAAGCTGAGGAGACAAGTTTCTGAAATTGAAAAAAAGGAAACGCATGAAAAACAAACATTAATTTAAAAAAAATGATAAAAGCAGGAAAGTGAGTAAATAAAAGAAACTGGTTTATCAAAATTTTTCAATATAAAACCTTTTTCAGAAATAATTAATTTTTGGTCCTATTGTGAGTTTATTCAATGTTATTGATATTTAAAATAACAACAGTGAGTGGAAGCAGCACAAAAATTTGGCTAAAAAGCAGGAAACCTGGAAAATACAGGTAGATGCTTTCTTCTGTTATAAAGAGAAGTAAACGCAGCTAACTTATATAAAACCCCGTATGTGATCATTCATTTCAATACGAATAGATATGTTTGTCTATCATTTGATTCACACTTCTCTCAGTTCTTCTGAGCATGAGTAAAGGTTTATTCCTGTTTAGGATTGGGTTTCTGATTCCTTCTAATGTCTTTTTCTTTTCTTTCACTTCTTATCATCTTGCTTTGTAACCCTCTACCTCGAATGGCTCTTGGGCTTTATACAGGGAGAAAATCATTGTAAAAAAAATTTATTTATAGTGAAGCTCAGATGTCTATCACATCTGCAAATGAATTATAAAGTGCTGTTCTTTGCAAAATATTGTTCTATATAAAGCCACGTTATTCATACACATCAGTTTATTTTGATCGTGAATTCTTCTACTAACGTGTTTATTTCACTGTCATGTCACATAAGTTTTCATCTCAATTTTGATAAAAAAAAAAAAAAATTTTAACATACCATTTACAAATGCAATTTGATTCCCTTTTAATATATCATTTTTTAATATGATAAATTTTCACATATAAAAATAACGTCTGCTCAGATTCTGAAATTAAATTACAATAAACATAAAAAGCATTACATGAATGTAGGTACCTCTACCTTTTCACTAACAAAGTGCATACCATGATGAAAAAAGGCCCCAAACTCAATAAAAACAAAGTCAAAATGTTTTTACATTTTATTAAATTTTTAAATCCTTTCTAGTACGTTCTAAATTAGGGTTAAAAATCTTGTTTTTCTTCTTGTGTGTCAGTGGTGGGTCAAAGATTACTATGGGTATTTAATGCCTTTTTTTTTTCCAGTAAAAAACATTGATTTGGAAATTCTTGCAAAAATCAAATAATTGTCAGATTTTAATAAAACTTTAAGGACTTATTCACAAATGAATGAAACTATTTAAATTTTTTTTTTTTTTATAGAAAATCTTGGTAAATTTTTTTTTTTTTTTTTTTTTTTTAAAACATCTGTCATACCCAACTTAATTTGATGAAATTTTAAGAAATTAAAATTTCAGCCTCTTCATATTTATATTAGTTGGAGAATTTAAATCAATTTGTTTTTGTCAAACAGGAACATCAATTACCGAAAATCTGCTCTGAATCATAAAATAAAAAATGCAATAAAACTACAAAATTAATTAGGAAGGCTTTTAATTGCTTTTTATAAGTAAGATATATTAAGATATATTGTCTTAAAAAAAAAAATTTTTTTTTAATGAATAATGAATTTTTAGGAGAATTCTTTACATTTTTTTAAAATTTTTATTAGAAAAATTTATTTTAAGTTTTAAATCTTAAAATTCCGTATTGATTTCAGCCATTTAAATTATATTAAGTGAAAAATATATTTATTAATCATAAATGGTAAAGCCCATTTTTGAAAGTCTGGGCAACCATACATGGCATTATCAGTGATTATTATAGTAAATTTAAAATCAACATTCCTAAAATTAGATTATGAGAATATTTTCCAAAAATTTTAACATTACTGAGTACTTAAAAATAATATAAAAAAAGGCGTTCATGTCATTTTATTAAATGTTTTATGGATAAAGTCTCTGTAGAACATCAATCAATCTGTCATCACCTTGTTATCACACACCAAACATGTAAACTCAGCTATTGTTGGTTAAAAACACAGTTACTGTTTAAAAATATGTTTGTTTTAATATCAGATTAATTATACTTTAAATCAGCTAATATTCCTCAAATATAGTTTTAGAAAAGTATGTTGTATTTTTGCTAGATTTTTAAAACTGAGAACCAAGTTGTGCTTATAAGTATCTAAAAAATGGATGACCATAATGATTTTACTGAGGGGTGGGGGAGAAGAAAGAAGAAAATCAATTTCAATCAATATGATTTCCATTTGAAATACATCAGTGTATTTTTGCTTACTGGAAATATTATATTTAACACTTTAGCATTCAATTAAAGCTAAAATGAAAGCGTCAAGAAAGCTTTTTCTTTTTTTTAAAATTAATTTAAACCTTAAGTATCACAATTTTAGTGGAGTTACCTAAATGAAAGAGTGTTCTGGGTTCTTGTCTTCAAGAAAAAAACAGTAGAATTAACTTGTATTTATGTATGACATATTGGTGTATTTAACACTTATTGGACGCAAATGTTGTCATTGGCAAACATTATTTTGATGGTGGAAAATGTTCATCATGGATTGGACAAAATGAATTTCTATTTCTAACTATTTTCAGATACATTGATTTTATAGGTTACATATCATATATAAAAGTAGATCAATAAGCCAGTAGCTTGACACACAGCTATTAGTGGAATTCTGAAATACAATGTCTAATCAGCAAAATTTACCAATCATACATGCAAAAAATAGGTACAATATTTCTCTTGACATTGATATCACTGTATATATACTCCCTTGGAAATTATTATTTAAAAAAAAATCCCACATATATGAAACTGGATATATGCCATTTTTTTTTTTTTTTTTTGAGAATTGACAACAAAAGTATTAAACACAATTATTGTAAATAAATGGTTTTTAGAAAAATAAGTATAAATCCCTATGCTTACAACATATTTTAGTGAATTTGAGGTGAGCACAAATGAAAAAAATACATGGAAAATGGATTTTTTTAAAATTTATAATTACTTGTAGTTATATGTTTAACAGGTTTTCTTGTTCATAGACATTTTTATAAATTTGTGAATATTTTTTTCATAGATATTGATATATAATATGTTAATAATAAATATTGCAGTGTAGTTGGTTCACATATATTTTATAAACTTGTAAATATAAGATTATTTCTTTTAAATAAAAAATCTAATATAATAAATAGTGTTTAATTCTTTTATTGTCAATTCTTGAGAAAAAATAAAGTGGATGCATAATCCGGTTTCATGTTGAGGTTTTCTTAAAATTCTAAAAATAGTTGTTTTAAACAATAAAAATTGCCAAGAGAGTATACAGCAATAGCAGTGTCAAGAGAAAAAATATCCTTTTGGCACACCATTTTATTTTTTGTGGGTACATATGTTAAACTTTGCTATCTGATCTTTCTGATTAATATTCAAAATTTCATGGAAAAAAAAAACCCATTGTTGAGCCACTTACTCATCTTTAACTTCTTCATCTGATGACAACACTAGCCAGTCTTTCTGCCAAGGTAATCTTTCATCTTCACTGTTTTCTTCTTCTTCAGAACTATTCAGGCCTATAAAGAAAAAGAAAGAGACAAAAAAGATGAACTTTGGATAAAAATCAAAACAATTTTTTATTAATCACTGATCTATTTGGACAAATGACTTTTTCATCTTTATCATGTTTCAGTTGTTGAATCATTTGGCATTCTGAGAATTTCAAACAGAATCCTTTATTCAACCAATAAGACAAATGATTGCCAATCCATTTTCCATACCAGGTGTATTTTATATTAGTTAATTCTTTTTAACTGTCTTTTTGCTTTTTCCACTGAAACATAGTATAGAATTTTTCAATGCCTAAGATATGACATGAGTACCAAGTAATGAAATACATTTAACCAATCATTGCCCTGCAGTACACTGTCATGAGTCTAAATAGATCAATGGATTATAATGATAATTCTTCATCTAAGAAATTTATACAGAAAAAAAAAGCCCCACCCCCACCCCAAAGGATTAAATTTAGAAATCAAACCTAGCATCAAATATACAACTGAATCACAAAGATTTTCTTTTGTATTATCTTTAAATTATTTCCTAAATGAATGTTTAACAAACATCATGAATAAATATCTATTCTTGCAAGTTGAAGTAAATTTTTTATTTTACTGAATAATGTTAAACTTTCAAGTTTCTTTTGCTTTCACATAACATTTTTTTTCTTTACAATGTTCACCCTGTATAAGGCCAGAGAACCACTCAAGATAGAGGGTTACAGAGTAAGAGGCACAGATTATGAGGATATGTGAAGAAGATAAGTTAATTCTAGACTTGAACAGGATAAGATTGCAATGATCAGAGAAGCATCCTCTTGGGAGTCAGTTCATGGGAAGAAGCTGCTCGAATGGAACATACATTTCACCAATGGAATACAATGGGGATGAGGCCATGTTTGCTAGCACAGCAGGTCTTAGCAGTGAAGGTTAGAATTGGTGAAACTAAAAGAATGCAGCTTGTCTGAACACTTTCCATGGAAATAGTGATAGAGCAGCAAGAGGCTTGTGATGTTTAAACATCAAAGTAAATAATGACTAATTAAAGCAATGCTTGTGGCAGAAATATATCAACATTTCCAATAGTGTTTTACATTTAGCATTTATTTTTTTTTTTTTAATCTAGGATTCTAAAGTGGCACTGACAAGGCAGAATGCTATTCAGCATTTAAGTAGAAATTATTCTTACAATATGTGCAAACAGTAACTACAATGAATCTTTCAAACAGCATTATTGAAAAATAATTTTTGTCAGAAAGATTAATATCTACTTCGATATTTGAACCAGCATGCTCATCTTGGTTGTTATTAGTGATGGGATGATTAATTGGAATCAGAAATACTGGAACTTTTTGAGGGTATCAGAATCGACATTGGAAAAATTTTAAGCTAATTTCCAATTTCAAAAATGATTCTTTGGATTTATTTTTTGTTTAAAACTTAATTTCCCATTCCTGGTACTAATGATAAAAAAGATAAAAATATTTATTGATTTTAAAATATCAGTAAACCTAAAATCTATAGATCATAATAACACTTAATATAATAGTATGATGTAAATTTATTTTACGTGTGTGTATATATTAAAAAAAAAAAAAAAAAAAAAAAAAAAAAAGAGAGAGAAAAAGAGAGAGAGAGAGAAAAAGAGAAACATGCTAGTTTCTACTCGGTTCTCAAACTTCCCATAAAGCTTGCTAGTTTAAAATCTGTTTCAGTACAAAATAAAATTTCTATTTTTAATTTCTTTAATATTGTTAATTCACCCATTTAATATTATAAATGATTAATTTAATAATTATAATCAAAATTATGTAATATAAATACAAAATGAATTTATGTTGTTCTGCTGGACTCTTTTAAAACAATTTTTATTATTTTTTTTATTTATAAAAAAAAAAAAAAACAAGACATTGCCTGCATTTAAAAACCAATAAAAAAATTTCGAATCTTATATAAAATTTTATTTTAAAATTCAAATTTTCAATTATTCTTAAGTAGAAATTAAAAATAAAATTCCATATAAGGAGTTTGTACAGCACTTAATCCAAAGGAACATATAAGGGTAGTGGTAGGTGTTTACGCTTCCTGTGGTGGGATTTCCATATGTTCAAATATATAGAATTCTTGCTAATGTCACATTTGATTTCTTCACATAAAAAATTGACCTTGTGTCACAAATTGTTCTCATGGTGAGACAGATTAAAACAATTTCTCATACACTTTTCAATGTAAGTCTTACTGAAAATATTTTCTCATAATTTGTTTTTATAATAGATTTAATCAAGAAATTCATTTTCTTAGTTTTGGATATTTAAAAGATTGTTTTTTTGTTTACATAGCATATTATGTAAACAAAAGTAAATCCTCTTTTCAATAACTGAAACTTAAAAAAGTAAACATTCTTTCAAAATGGATTTTCATCTTCAAAAAAAAAAAAAAAAAAAAAAAAAAAAAAAAAAAAAAAAAAAGAAGCTTTTTCACACAAAAGTTTGTATTAAAAAACCTAAAATTTAATTTCCATCAAAAATTGCATTTAATTTTATTTTATTAATATTTTTCTTTGGCACAATTGAACTTTCCTGTCTTAAATTATTATGGCATTTAAAATATTTTTAACTTTTTTTCTCATTTTCTCCTCCTCTGAGCCAAACAAGATGCAAATTTTATTTTTTATAAGTGTATAAAAAAGTTAAAAATGAATATTTTTATCCTGTTTTTATTTGGTATGATTAAGATATAGTTTTTTTTATCCATTTTTAACATGATTTATTTGAATATTTTAAAAATAAAACTAGTAAAATTTTATCTAATAAATAATTGAAAGAAAAAAAAAAAAAAAATGATCCCATGAAAAAAAATACATGTTTACAATTGTTCTCATCTTTATGAACATGTTAATCATTTTTAATCTTATTTTTATTTTAATGCTTTGTAACAGTTGAATTTCATAAATTATAAAATGATCAAATTACTGAAAATACTTAAACAATTCATTGAGTGTACAAATTTATTAAGTAATCAAGAAGCAACTACCTCTTATATTATACCACACATTAAAGTCATTTATCACTTTTAAAAAAGAAGAAAAGGGACTGATGGATTAGGTTCAACCATTTCAGCATGGAAAGCTTCTTTTAATGCTAGATTTAGCAGCTACTTGGAAGACAAAAACCTTATTCTAGCAACATATCTTGATCCCAGGTTTAAGACGGGTTACCTTAAAAATAACTAGTGGCCTACCTAATGACAAGGCTATTGCAGAATGATTCACTCAAGATATCTATTCTATAACTGAAGGAAAAACAGACACTTCACCCAAAGTATCACAAGGAATAAAGAATGATTTGTCTGACATGTCTGAAGAGAAAAGTGATAATGATAGTGACTTTAATTTCAGTTTTACAAAATGCCTCACTGAATTAAAGAAAAAAAAGTGATGAAGGAAAAGGGGAGCCAATGTGTACGAGAATATAGGATAAAGCAATCAGTGAAACAAGCAAAGAAACATATTTATTAAAACTTGAAATAACAAAATATATTGCATTAAAAAATATAAAAAGTGATAATGTTTATCAGTGGTGGAATTCAAATAAAAATGAATTTCCCATCATGGCGCTTTTAGCCAGGAAATATCTGCACTTCTTCTGCTGAACATGAACTGTTATTTATGATTGGAGGTAACATTTACTTACCTCAAAGAAATTGGATGAAAGGAGAAACAGGAGAGATGATGTTCTTACATTATAATTTAAGAATTTTAGAACTTAAATATGAGTAGCTAAGTACTTTACAAAAAGAAATAGTTCTTTTTATTGTTTAAACTCTTACCCAGTTTTTAAATAAAAAGGATATCTAACTTTATTTCATAAACTTTTGTATTCATTTTTCTACTAAATGTTTTATTAATAAATGCACTTTGTTCATTAAGTTTTCCAACCCAACTGTAGGTCCTGAAAATAATGAATTTTAATCTTATAGGTATCAGAATTGGAAATTTAGAACAGTACTGGGAATTCTACTGGAATTGATAAAAATATTGGTATCATACCATCACTAGTTGTTATATTTGTGTTTAAGTCATTGTACTCTCCAGTCTTCTTTAAGTTTCTGTCTTTGTATTTTCAAAATTTCAAATAGATTCCTTTATTCAATCAATGGCGAGGATGTTTCATATCAGTTAATACTCATCAGTCATAATCACTTTTGTCTCACTTGTCTGTTTCTTTCATTGAACTGGAATACGTGACACTTTAGCATAACCAGTCCAAAGGATTGAACTCACAACTACCAGGGAATCAGAGGTTTTAAGAATCCACAAAGCCATAAGCCTTTTAGCTCTTTTTGGAAAAAGTATGAGGCCCCAATCAACATCAAATTAGTTAAACATCTCACGTCACACAGCCTTCTTTTGGATGAATAGTATGGCTTTCATTTCTTTAGGTTTACTGCCGATGTGTTAACAATTATTATTCAATTTGTGTATAAGGCTTACACTCTTCCAGATCATTTCACATTAATATGGGGGTCCGCCAGAGCTATATCCTTGACTGATGTTGTTTCATATCTTCATCAACGACCTTCACTGATGTCATCAGTTCCCAACTATGAATTTAGGCTGATGACAACTTTTTATGCCAGCCTTAGTAGTAAATTTGACAGGTTCAACAAAGTAAAACTACTTTCAAAAATGACATTTTGTTACAATTGTTAACTGGGGGAATAAATAGCTTGTAAATTTTAACACCTCCAAAGCAAAACTGCTATCATTTAATCACCATAGAGAACCTTTTCTGTCTTCCATCAGCATAGCTGATGCTAACCTCCAGCAGTGTAATTCTTTGCACCTTCTCGGGTTCACATTTTCTACTAACATGAAGTGATTATATTGAATCAATTGCTAGATCTACTACTAGGAAAGTTAATTCATTGGATTATATCAGACAATTTTTCTCTCATCAGAATTCATCTTGCACATTTATGAATTTACTATTCATCCATACCTTGAATATTTATGGCAT